TATATATATATATATATATATATATATAGGTTCCTCAAAATATCTTTTGTAGTAGACTTACATTATAAGCGCTTATATAGAGACACCATTAATTCTGCTGCAGATGCAGATGATTTGTATGCAGAAAAGATAAAATTAAGGTTTATTGTATTTTTTGATACGGAAAACGTAGTTAAAGATCTCGTAAGTATTTCTTTGATAGTTCAAAATCTATCGCAACCTTAACTTTCCAACAAATTAACAGCCAGGGCTTATTCAGTTTCTTTACAAGGAAAAAAACCATAGCATTTCATTTTTTTCCTAATAACAGTTTACTTTTCCCGTTTTGGGGAAAGAAATATCCACTAATTGTAATAATGCGAATTTTTACAAGCTAATGCGATATAAGAGAAGAGAAGGAAAAATTCTATTTTCTGTTTACAAGGATTCATAACTATATATATATATATATGTCAGGTCAAAAATGACTAGCATTGTGTATAAAATTACTCTATTTATGACATATAATGGACCGATTTTAAATATTATCAGCCAAACTTCAAATAAATATAAAAAAATAAATCAAAGCTTCTACAAGATGGGTTAAATTTACTTGTACGACTCTTAATCTCTGATAAGACCAAAAGCGAGAATGTTTCATAGATACAATTAAAAAGGCCTAATTCAAATGAAAGAAGATTACGCAAAACTGTCAATGCGTATGCAAAATAGACGTACTTGGTTAAGTCTATTAACCAAAGGGATCATAAAAATTGAAAAATGTTTGCATTTTCTAAGAATTGTGAGAACTACGTCTCAGCAAAATATAGTATGGTCGAAAATTAGTTAGTATTAAATTGTATTCCTATTCTGTATAGTAAATTGACATCATTTCATCACCCAAAAGTTGAAATAGAATGCAAAATATCTCCATTGTCAATTGGGATTATGCCTTATTGAAAGCTTATACTACATTCTCTTTAAACACAGCTTCTGAAATGTTAACATCTTTTTTCATCTTTTGTTTCATAATAACTTAAATTCTCCTAATTGCTACAAAAACTAGAGTCAGAATATTTGTTCTTCTTCTGACTAATAATTAAATTTAACTTTAACTCCAGCACATGAAAACGAGAGATTGAGGTAGTTCGTGCAGTGAGCAGACCGCGAATGTTGTTAGGATTGAGATTTTCGGGTTTATCGGCTGCTAAGTCTCGTTCATGAAATAGATTGTTGAGTAGAGAAACTGCTATATTTTAGTCTTTTGGCATGACCAAGAATTAATACATTTCAATTTTATCGTGTAGCTTGATTAGGTATTTTGTTACCCTCCGTAGATGATTAATTTTTTTAAATAAAGAGATGAGCAAAGCATTGGGAAAGCGATCCTAAAAAGGTAGTTGCGAATCCGCGACAAAAAATATACTTGAATTAAAAAATCATCTTTAGCTTATTCTAATTTGCTTTCATCAGTATAATTTATCGAATATTAATGTAAGAATCTTAAAGTGTCATATATCTATGAGGTCGATTTTTGAATCCTTTCCAACCAACTTCAGCGAGATTTTAATTGGATCAATGCAGGGTAAAAACATGTTATCGATTCGTGATATTATTAAATGGTTCAAATCATTATTCTATAAATACATGCTATCAGAACATAATTTTGAATCTCCATTCTGATCACAATCCAGAAAGCAATCACTTTGCATTATTAATAAATATATTAGAAATGAAAATAAAATATAGTGGATTCAATTCAATAAGAACATAATAGTAAACTTGGAAATCTTGGCACAATTAAGCGGCGGACTCACTTCTATGAAGTTTTATATAAGAAGATAAAAAGAAATAAAAGAAGGCAAACTACTATTTATTTTGCAATAAAAAGAACAATTCTTGTTATTTTTAAACTGTATTTTTGGTAAATATGATTTGTGAAATTGGAGGACTAAAGCTAAATCCACCGTAAATGCTCTTCTTTAATTGATTGATGGATCAATGAATCAAAATCATGGACAAAGAAGATTTCGTTTAATTATCCTACTACCCAGATAAACCAATTCTGTGCTTTTATTTGTAATATGACCGACATCTTTCAAATAAGGTAACACTATTTAAGGAACATTATACCAAATACCATGTATATATATATATATATATAAAGTACGTACGTTTAATAATAGTTTCTAAATGTATCATATTATACAAATATCAAGAAATTACTGGACAGGTAAATTATTCACACTTGTTTTTAGATACTCTTTTTCCCACAGAAATATATTCCTAGATTTGTTTTATTTACTGGACCAAAAGTGCCACTCAAATCTGAAACAGATCTTGTGTGAGTATTAAATAATTTAGATGATATTAGATTTAAGAATAACACTCAAAGCAATCAACCATTAATTTGAGTTAATGCCAGATTCGGGCAGATCTTTGCTATAATTCTTAGTTTAGAGGATTACTGTAGGCTTTAAACTAAGTTGCTTGATAGAGTCGTTTAATATATAAGAAATAATTTCCATAAGATACATTCAAATTTTAGTACAAGAATCAGCTTTACGATTTATAAACAGGTATAATAAAAAGAATTAAAGAGAAGTATAGAATATGCCAGAAATTTATTAATCTGTCAAAAACCCTGTTTCGCCTAAAGGTATTCTCTGACTTTACTCTGCTAAGCATGGCATTGATTCATCTAGGTCGCAAGGCATAAAGGGAAAGAATTCTTCGTTTTATTTTGACTTCCTTAACTAGAAATAAATCCTTCGCTTTTCGATGAGGTCGATTTTTGAATCCTTTCCAACCAACTTCAGCCAGATTTTAATTGGATTAATGCAGGATAAAAACATGTTATCAATACATAATATTATTACGAGCAATCCATGACCACTGGACAGGCGACACGTTCAAAAACAAACATTTCTCGCTTCTATTGCATTTATAATGGGATTTTTGATAAAGTAAACTTGTATTTCCGAATTGCAATCGATCACTTTATACTGGCTACTATCAGAATAAAAGTTATATTCAACCTACGTTGCGTAAGCTGATTAAAGAACTGATAATTGAATTTCTTATAGTTATATGGATACATTCTAGCTATACATTTTTCTTCATCATTATAAGAAATATACTGATAGTCAAAAATCCCACTTTTTATTATTATAGCTTATTTAATTTTCATCATTTTGCAACATTTATAATTTTGTATATTATATGAGATAAAAATATGTTAAAACGTAAAAATCGGGTTTTATCTCCTAAATGAAATATATAATTCTGGTTTATCCTCCTGAATCGGTGTTCACCCAGATAAATCTACCAGTATTACCCATTACTACTCAAATCATCATATAATCCAAAAACAGTGGTTGTAAAAATGCATTTGTAGAAGATTTCATATTTACCACCTTAATTCACATATCTTCGGCCTAATTAGTAATGGTTCGTTTGGATAAATAAAATAAAATATGAAAAATTCCTCCAGGTTTAGAATATAATAGAAATTTGTTATATTTGTTAAAGGAGATAACACAATAAATCATAATACTTAAAAGCTAACCTCTGTTTTAGTTCTAGTCGGTAAAACTGCTCACATATTTCTGTCTAGATCTCTAGAATAGCGTAATCTAAAGCATCTTCGAACAAAACATAACTGTCTAAGAAATAAAGCATAGATTCACTATACTCACTCAAGCATTCACATAAATGGGACCTGTCGTCATAATTAGTAACTCGAAATATGAACCACCTGATATAATAATCTAATAAAAATTGGGCCAATTAACCTTTCTTTCACCAGTCCGCCCACTCGCGGTAGAAGTGCTTGCATATATTTTAGTCGTTATCACTCGCTATATTTGTTATTTCATCCCTCTTTCCCATACTTGGTTGTTAATTCGATGTTAGTCGTGCTCATGCATATACAGAAAGCCAAGCGAATTCGCCTTCCGCGATAAGTGATGATGGACTGTTCTTAGTTTTCTGGCCAATACGAAGGATGGAAATAAAGTGGGCAGGCAATTAGTAAGGAGAGGCACAACGACCGTTGTCTACAAATTACCTGACCTCTGACCGCATCGGTCAGTTGGCCGCTTAAAAGTCTCTAATCCTACTTAAAAGAGAGCTCTTTTTACACGATAATTATATAATGTATATCAGTAAAACTTATTGGCTCCGTAGTTCAAGTCTGTCAGAGGTTGGTTCCCGCCGCCAGCTATTACTTCATGCTCAACCTCGTCATCGCCATCATATATTACCCTTTTTCATCCTGATGATCTTTCATTGTGTTTTGACCTCAGTACAATCAACGCGGTTACCAAAAGATGAGAGAAAGTGGGACGACCTGGATCTGAGCAAGTTGTGGAGCAAAGAAGAATTAGAGTCAATGGCTGGGCAAGGTCGAGATAAGCCACTCCTCCTACGTTACGTCAGTCAAGAGGACGTTGAGCGTCTACTTGAGGATTTAGGAGACTACTTTGCACTTCATGGAAGAATCAGGTGAACTTTAAATTTTGATTATCCCTTTAAATATCAAAAGATCAACAGATCCTATTAAGATTTATTTACTTTTTAACTAACCTTTTTAGGATTACCACTGGCTAAATTTGATTGATTAATATGTATCTTTGTATAGAAAAAAATATAAATAATATATGCAATCTTGATTGATAAGGTATATGTATATTATGTTTTGCTTAAAATATTATGAGAGGTAATGTATAGCTAAATACAAATTCAAATAAAGTTAAGCAAATGGAATTATCTCATATATAAAATGTTAATAAAATTTATTCTGAAGTTTGCTTTCTTTTGTCGCGAATGAAAAAAAGTAAAATTTATCATTTATGCACAGTTCTATATTAATTAAACAAAAATAACGATTTTTTTAACGAAGGAGACTATATTTTTGAGTATCATATTAAGCTTTATATATGTTTGTAGGCTTTAGGGATATAATTATAAACTCCTATATAACTTCTCCTATTTAAGCCAAACATACGACTATCATGGTAACGCATCAGGCATTATTTGATAATGATCATTACTCTAATGAGAACGAAAATTCAGTTCCTAAACTTTAAATTCTAAAACATAAAGTAGACATTCCCTTAGAAGCCTTGATTGATCAAATGAAACCGCTTTTAATAGTGTGAATTCATGGATAATATTGTATTTTATTTAGTCTACATGGATGGAATGGTTGTTATTAAGGTGCTGAAAGCTAAATAATTATTTGCCATGAGCTAATTATTCATATAAATTGTTAAGAGACCAGTTTATTTTAAGATAGGCGTTAGTGGAAGCTCGTTAGCAGAGACTCTGCGAAACCATAAGTAAAAGTCAAACGCATAAAATGCATAATGCATTGACTTGCAAATAATAAGAAACGTCACAGAATGAGCATAAACTAGGAATAGTTATAGGTTTTGTATGATAAAATAAGTAGAGTTTGTAGTGGATTCTTATAGGGGATCAACTTTTTTCACCTGCCAATTATTAATTAATCTATGACATTCGTATAAGGATTATAGGAAAGGCAATGACCAGAAATATTCTCTTCCTTTTAGGACATAACATGTAATATACTTCCAGATAATAAATGAATTCTGATATTCTTCACATCGTATTTAGAAATTTTATTTAGACAAATTAATTCGTAGATAACATGATCAATTTTTGAACTTATAAGACTATGGCCTATATTAAATGTATAGAGGCCCAATTGTTTATAGCTAATGTGAATTAAAATATCATATATAGATGAAATGGGGCATTTCGTCAATTGGGGTTGCCTTAAACGAATGTTAATCAAATGCCACAACATACAATTCAATTCTAGTATATAGTGTATAATATAGATTGTATAAGCTTATCTCAAATGTAAAATTAACTATGCTTATAACTTCACAGCTAAGTTGTCAGAGCTATAAAGAATAATTATTTAGTTTTAAACATAGAAATAATTTCTAATAAGCACATAAAATTAATTTTCTGGTAGGCATTTCATTCCTTTTTCACTTATTTATCTCTAAACTACCAATTCAGCTAACCTCACTGTATTTTGTTTCTATTCAAAAAATTAAGGCTTATTCATGAGTAACTTCATTCTCGTATTTATACTTATTAAGAGAAAGTTGCGCTATATAAAAGGCTGATATATGATTAAATGATGTATAATACAGCCATTATGCAAAATTATTTTATTACTAGCAGCAGTATCGTTTAAGAATCAGTATGACAAATATCTTTATTCATGTTCTTTAGATTTTTTAGAGGTCTACTCATTCCATATGAAGCAATTCCGTATATAAAATTTAAAATTTAGGTTTGGCTTAACTTAAAATCCAAATATTAGTATGAATTTAGAGATCTCTGACTTGAATTGACATTCCTTCCTTTGATACACTATTACCAATTGCTGTTGAGAGGAAAAGTAACTTAGAGCCCTCTTTTTTACCCCCTCGTGGATTCTGCAGTTGATCATGGATAAGTAAACATTTAAAGAGAATGGTAAATGAAAATCGGTGCTAGTTTAAAGCCTAGATGTTTCATTATGTTAAATAATAATATCAGCCTTTATATTTAATTCGACGGCCTTATATATTTTAAAATCAAAAAGTTCTTAAAATATAATTATTCACTTTTTAAAATATTTTTGGGAAATGCCTAGTAACGGCATAATTGCCTTTAACTAAAAGAGAGTCAATATAAATAGATTGCTAGAATTAAGTGTAATGGTCGTATTAATTCACACTATAACAATGAATCAAGCTTTAATCATCCAAAGAAATTAGATTTAAGAGATAATCTAAATGTTTGCAATATAAAACATAGCCATATTCCAAATGCAACTTCTAAACTGACAACATATGCGCGCTAGTGCAGGAGGACCAAGTATAAGTTGGAAACCTTTTTGACAGGTGGCCTGTTCCACATTATTTTGAATGATACTCAACTGCAGTCAGGTGAGAGGCAAGACTCTAAGTGGCCGAGATGTCCATAATTGAAAAATTATGACGACATTAATTGAAGAACGGTTGAGAAAAGTCAAATTAAGCAGGCAGGAATATTAAATAGTTGATTAATCATTTTATTTAAAAAACCAATTTAAAAGTTCTTCTGAGATATTATATTTAATTTCTAACTTTTAATGATTTATAAGACAATTTTGTCTTTAAGCCTAGAAGAACTGATTTAAATTTATTTGTTTAGCAATTTACACTAAGTAATTTATTTTGGTCCAACAAATAGAATATAAGAGACCCTCAATCAAACTTATCCATTACATATATAGATTAAAAAATGTTACATCATGTTGAACATTTTGTATATCAGCTAAAACTTTTCCATCATTATAACTCAGTGTTGTATCGTTTTATATTAAAGCAACATAAGCAGTTGTTTCAAGCAGACAGCTTTTAAGTTCTACTTAAATACTTACAAGTAAACTCACCACAAATATTTTTCATTGCCTTTGATCCCACATTAGTGACTTATTGCCATTTAAAATTTTTGAAAAGAGCGCATTATATTCGTGCCTTTCTAATGCACTTTCTTTGCCAATGATTATATTTATTCTATAGAAAATAGTAAAAATAGTTGTGGTTAAAACGCACAGTTTTTTTGTTCTACTAAGTATACATTTGCAGAACTTATTTTTCTATTTGTCTTAACCTTTTCCCAAGCAATGCAGACTTTTAAAAGTAAATGAATAATTAAAATGATTCTATATTTTGACATTAAAATATAAAATGAATAAATGACTTTTTATACGTAGCGCAAAGTCTTAAATCAAAATGATTTAGCCTAGTTTATTCATGACTCTTTATATCTTGCGTTATTTTTACCTGTTAGTAAATAAATATCCTATTGATGCTTAATTCAACACATAGAATAAATCTTTTAAATTTGCCAATTTTAGTATATGTTCTAGCATCAGGCTTTATACAATATAAACATAGTTACTATGTTTAAGCTTAAAATAGTTCAATTTAAAACTGAAAATAATAAATGTTCTATAATATAGCTCGATTCTCATACTCCTACGAAATTTTGTATAAATCAAGCATCGATAGTCATTGCAGAATTTCAGTCGGGTTCATAACTTTTGTAAACTTGTCAAAGTTAACTTACTGGTTGCTTTTAGAAAGATTAAAACCAGAATGTTATTTGCCCATTTAGAGATCAAGTTGACTTTATATTCTGAATTGTTCAGCCACCTAACAAAAATCTTTTCTATTTAACTAAGGAGTGATAACAAAAGCTGAAAATAAATCGGTACTTTTTAGTATGTATGCAATGTTATCATTGTACAGACAAAATTTTTTTCTGCATTTCAAAAACTTTATCATATCATGCTTTTTGCATACATCTAAATTGGTCTGGTTGTAAAAACCCATATAATAATAACATTTATTTTGAAGGGTTTGTTGTTGTAGGACTGGTTCCTACAATAGATCTTCAGTAAGACAATAGGTAAGCTGAATTCACAGTTTGCTAAATATTAAAACTTTGTGAATTTTTCTTAAAAATTGCTTAGCTAGATTTGCTAACTTCAGATCACAAACGAAACAATTTTCTCTAAGAGTGATTTAATCTCATAAAGTTTCATTCTATGTTTATTTGTTTACGAATAATATACGATTCAATAATTTTGGGGTAAAGATTTTTGTTAAGGCATGAGTGGCCAATTTTAAACATTAATTATATATATATATCAAAAATTATTTTATTCTGTTTCTACATTCTTTTAGTCTAGCTTCTAGGCCTTGTTTCGAGAAAATGTTTTCATAGCAAAGATTTCCTTGTTTTTTACTTACTACCTTTATTATCTAGTCATTTAGTTGTTGATGAAGGCGTATAATAAGCAATAATGTGGATATTACGGAGTATAAACTTCGTATGTTCGCTTTACTTATCATTTTGCCTAAACTCGATGTCAAGTCAGGGTAAGTTAGCTAGGTTCAATCTCTAAATATTTTTATTTCTCTCTTGGAAACTACGTTTATTATTTACCGTAAGGTAGGACAACTTTACCCTATCATAGGCAAAAATAAGATATTTTTCTTTTTAAAAGCAATCCCTAAGCATTCCTAAAGCTATAAAATTTTCGCCATTCGGTCACTCATAGAACCCAAACTTTGAATAAAATTCAACCTTTTCGTTAACCAGCTTATCCAGCTATACTCGTCTTAATCTACATTAAGCTACCGATAGGGAAATTTATTTATTCTAGCTAAGCATAAGGGACACTACAAAGTCTAATATTTCAAGAAATAAATCCATTACTATAGGAAGGATAACTTGGTGAAAAGTCGGACCATCAAGAAATATAACCGACAAAGTTAACTTGGAATAAGCTTAACCTAGAAGTGAAATATCTATAAAAAAAATTGTATATTCCTACTGCAACCTCATTTATCTATTCTTATCTACCGCATTATTACTACAAAGATGAAAACATATTCCTAGTAAAGGAGGGATTTAGTCTTTTCATAATTGCATGTTCCATTAGTTAAAGTTAAAAATATATAGAAATGTTGCTAACTATTTTACATATATTTATATTATTATATGACAAAGTTCGATCATTATGGGTGGAC